TTGCTCATCTCCGCGCTGTTGTAATTGCAGTCCTCCTGAAATTCAATAAAAAAATTTAATGCTCTCCTCTATATGAGTAAGTTATGTCCTAATAATTTAAACAGCATTAGCCATTCATCATGGCTGATGGCATGTTTCTCTCCTCCTATGAGTATAATGTTATCTTCAAAAATTAGAAAGAATTTGGTGCGTTTGTCAGATATTACAACTCAACATCTACAGATGTTGGTAATACTATTTATATATTACTTTATTGAAAGAGTAGGGAACACTTTCTTTCTAATTCCTGTCTCGTACGTGTCAGCAAATTCAGTTCTAAAAACAGAAAACTCACATTAAAGTCATTCTTGAAACCACAGGTGATGCAGTAAGCTTGTTTTGGCTGAGGTGATGACAGGTCGCCAACGTAATAAATGTGACGCTGTCCTGGTCTTCCAGATGGGGCGGCTGTGAAGTACCTTAAGACAGAAAAAAAATAATGAAGTACTCTAATAACTATAGAAAGCTCTATCTATGGTAGTGTGGACTTCAAGGGTACAAGGCTGTGTTTATGGAAATATTTGTTCATGGAATCTATCCCTACATTTTACACTTTTCAAAAATGGTCTGCTTACACAATGTGGTTCTTGCGGTCCCACGACAGAATATCTACAACCTCGTAGGTGCCAGTGGTAAGCGGGGTTAGGGTCTTGTCCGATGATCGTCGGAAGTTAATGTGCTGGAAAATAACATTCCAAATAAATAGCAAATGCTTATTGTATAGACTGCTGGTGTCATTCAGTGAAACTTATGATGTGTCCAAACATGATCAACTTTCAAATTACGATTATACCTCAGACTAAAATAAGTTAATTACGGTTTCCCGAAGATTTTACGATTTAGTGATTCCAAGACTCACCTTGAAGTGCCCCTTGTCGCCCTGGAACGTGGGCAGGACAATCAGGTAAGTGTCGCCGCTGGCCTCGTCGAACATGGGGGGAGTATAGAGGTCGTTCCAGGCCTTGTCCGGAGACTCGTGGACGAGGTCGTCGGAACACACGCCCGTCTCAGCCTGGCAGATGCTCAGGATGTTCACATTCTGCAAGGGAGAGCCAGGCCTCGTTAGTTGCGTGAAAGGCGGAACATGGGAATTTATTGAATAAATAAGGTAATTTGGTAGATTTACGTTGTGTGTGTGTGTGTGTGTGTGTGTGTGTGTGTGTGTGTGTGTGTGTGTGTGTGTGTGTGTGTGTGTGTGTGTGTGTGTGTGTGTGTGTGTGTGTGTGCGCGTGTGTGCGTGTGTGCGTGTGTGCGTGTGTGTGCGTGTGTGAGTGTGTGTGTGTGTGTGTGTGTGTGTGTGTGTGTGTGTGTGTGTGTGTGTGTGTGTGTGTGTGTGTGTGTGTGTGTGTGTGTGCGCGTATGTGCGTGTGTGCGTGTGTGTGTGTGTGTGTGTGTGTGTGTGTGTGTGTGTGTGTGTGTGTGTGTGTGTGTGTGTGTGTGTGTGTGTGTGTGTGTGTGTGTGTGTGTATCTGTGTGTGTGTGTGTATCTGTGTGTTTGTGTCTATCTGTGTGTGTGTGCGTGTGCGTGTGCGTGTGCGTGTGCGTGTGCGTGTGCGTGTGCGTGTTCCTGTGCCTGTACCTGTGCCTGTGTTTGTCTGTCTGTATATGTGGCTGCCTGTGTCTATGCATACATGTGAATGCCGCGCGGCCTTACCTGATGTCTGTTCATCCAGTTGACGGACACGTAGTCCGGCGAGGCCCAGCCCACCGTGGTGAAGTAGTGGTCCACGTTCGCCAGGGTGGCAGGCGGAGGCAGGCGCGTCACGGTGTCGCTGCTCCCGCTGATCAGCTTGGCCAGGTCCACCACCCACAGGTCGACCACGGGGTTGAATCGGCCAGGCTACGCGGAGAGGCAATTGAAGTCATTTTAGCAACAGAATCGTGAACTCGTAAGTAATCGGTCTTTTTTGCTGGTTGATTATACAAATGAAGCTATTGAGAGAGAAAAAAAAACTCGAAAAATTTGAAAGAACTACAGAAAAATTATGTTGAATTATATGACTGCTTGCTATTACACACCTGCTACGTGTCAGCAAGGAGGCGACCACCACAACCATAAAACATCGGATTTCTTGCCTGGTTGAAAAGCCCACACTTTATACCAATAGAATTTAGAAGACTCCAACCATCCCTCACCTTCGGGTACTTAATGGACTGCTGGATGGGATACTGGAACGAGAGGTCCCCAGGGCGGCCGTAGAGAGGGAAGTTCATGGTGTCGACGCGGGAGTCGTTGAAGGTGGCGAAGGCGAGGCGCTGGCCGTTGGGGCCGAACCACAGGGCGGAGTTGGAGCTCAGGATTTCCTCTGGCGGGGAAACGGTGCCGGTTAGAAAAGAGAGAGAGAGAGAGAGAGAAAAAAAAACATTTGCTGATAAAAAGTAAGTTTAACTTAAAAAAACATTTTCTTTAATTATGCGCTCGGTTAATTGCCTTGTGTTGGGTTACACATCTAATGAATAGTGAAGTAAAGTGAGGAAAAAGAAAAGAACTTCAAATCTATAGTTTCCCACCAACACACCTTCATACACCCAGTCGGGGATGCCGTTAAAGATGCTACCGATCTGGCCAGTGTCAGTCAGCCTGTACATGGTGGCCAAGTCGGGGCCGGTGGTGTAGTAAAGGTCATTGTGGGACACGAAGGCGAGGGCGTCGTCAGTGGGCGCCCAGGTGGCATACAGAAGCGGCGGCTGGTCATTCCTGGACCTGACCCGCTGAGGCGCCAGAGGGATGGCCTCCCTGGGGAAAGAAAAAAGAAATGAAATAAACATGAATAATACAAATGAAGAGAATCACATAGGCCTACTCACTTAGGCACATTTTAATTGCCGCAATAATCACGCACAAGTATGTATTTACGTAAATTTGTTGACGGAGCTGTACACTTGTGGTAACTCACCCGGTCTCAAGGTTAAGAATGGTGTGGCGAGCGAGGTAGGAGTAACGGAACAGCTGAAAGGTAAGAAAATAAAATATGCATAAGAAAGCAGCGTTACTCTATTTTCCTTTTTACGAGATGAACAATGGTACCGATACTTAGTGTTTGTATGGGATTTTCATTTGTCTTGCCAGTATTTTCATGTTTTTCATATATAGGAAGGTATATGGTTCAAGTACATTATATTTCCAAAGGCTTACCTTCTGTATATCATGAACAACCAGAAGATATTTCCTGCTTGGGGACAGACTGTACTTGAAGGGACGCCACTCCGCCTGCGGGCAGTAGAAGGTTCATTGCAAGACATGGAAAGGTTCTCCTCTCTCTCTCTCTCTCCCTCTCTCTCACACTCTCTCTCTCTCTCTCTCTCTCTCTCTCTCTCTCTCTCTCTCTCTCTCTCTCTCTCTCTCTCTCTCTCTCTCTCTCTCTCTCTCTCTCTCTCTCTCTCTCTCTCTCTCTCTCTCTCTCTCTCTCTCTCTCTCTCTCTCTCTCTCTCTCTCTCCTCTCTCTCTCTCTCTCCTCTCTCTCCTCTCTCTCTCTCTCTCCTCTCTCTCTCTCTCTCTCCTCTCTCTCTATCTCTCTCCTCTCTCTCTATCTCTCTCCTCTCTCTCTATCTCTCTCCTCTCTCTCTATCTCTCTCCTCTCTCTCTATCTCTCTCCTCTCTCTCTATCTCTCTCCTCTCTCTCTATCTCTCTCCTCTCTCTCTATCTCTCTCCTCTCTCTCTATCTCTCTCCTCTCTCTCTATCTCTCTCCTCTCTCTCTATCTCTCTCCTCTCTCTCTATCTCTCTCCTCTCTCTCTATCTCTCTCCTCTCTCTCTATCTCTCTCCTCTTTCTCTCTCTATCTCTCTCTCTCTCTCTCTCTCTCTATCTCTCTCCTCTCTCTCTATCTCTCTCCTCTCTCTCTATCTCTCTCCTCTCTCTCTATCTCTCTCCTCTCTCTCTATCTCTCTCCTCTCTCTCTATCTCTCTCCTCTCTCTCTATCTCTCTCCTCTCTCTCTATCTCTCTCCTCTCTCTCTATCTCTCTCCTCTCTCTCTATCTCTCTCCTCTCTCTCTATCTCTCTCCTCTCTCTCTATCTCTCTCCTCTCTCTCTATCTCTCTCCTCTCTCTCTATCTCTCTCCTCTCTCTCTATCTCTCTCCTCTCTCTCTATCTCTCTCCTCTCTCTCTATCTCTCTCCTCTCTCTCTATCTCTCTCCTCTCTCTCTATCTCTCTCCTCTCTCTCTATCTCTCTCCTCTCTCTCTATCTCTCTCCTCTCTCTCTATCTCTCTCCTCTCTCTCTATCTCTCTCCTCTCTCTCTATCTCTCTCCTCTCTCTCTATCTCTCTCCTCTCTCTCTATCTCTCTCCTCTCTCTCTATCTCTCTCCTCTCTCTCTATCTCTCTCCTCTCTCTCTATCTCTCTCCTCTCTCTCTATCTCTCTCCTCTCTCTCTATCTCTCTCCTCTCTCTCTATCTCTCTCCTCTCTCTCTATCTCTCTCCTCTCTCTCTATCTCTCTCCTCTCCTCTCTTCCTCTCTCTCTATCTCTCTCCTCTCTCTCTATCTCTCTCCTCTCTCTCTATCTCTCTCCTCTCTCTCTATCTCCCTCTCTCTCTATCTCCCTCTCTCTCTCTCCCTCTCTCTCTCTCTCCCCTCTCTCTCTCTCCCCTCTCTGCCGTCTCCTCCCTCTCCCTCTCCCTCTCCTCCCTTCCCCCTCTCCTTCTCTCTCTCCTCCCTCCCCCCTCTACCTCTCCTCCCCCCTCTCCCTCTCCCTCTCCCTCTCCCCCCTCTCCCTCTCCCTCTCCTCCCTTCCCCCTCTCCTTCTCTCTCTCCTCCCTCTCCCCCTCTCCCTCTCCTCCCCCCTCTCCCTCTCCCTCTCCTCCCCCCTCTCCCTATCCCTCTCCTCCCTCTTCCTCCCTATCCCTCTCTCTCTTCTTCTTCCCCCTCTCCCTCTCCCTCTTCTTCTCCCTCTCCCTCTTCTCCCACTCCCTCTTCTTCTTCTTCTCCCTCTCCCCCCTCTTCCTCCCTCCCTATCCCTCTCTCCCTCCCCCTCCCCCAATTGCCCAACTGCCGCAAGAAGCCCCATTCCGCGCGCCCGCCGGGTCGAAGGCCGCAGCGAGCGCGAAGGCGAAGGAGGCGCTGACCTATTGTGTGTTAAAACAGGGACTTGTAACCTTTCGAGCGCCTTTGGGCCCGCGTTCGCTTACCATGATATCCTTGTTGACCAACTCCTCCGTGGACTGCGTGTCGACGGTGAACATGTTGAGGGCGCCGTTCTCGCTCCGGAACAAGAATTCGTTGTCTGTGGGAGAGAGAGGGAGAGACGGGCGGTTTGTTTACGGGTTTCTGGCTGTGGTGGTAGGGGCGGTTGGGGTTGGGGGTGGGGGGTGAAGAGAGGGGTGATTGCTCGATATAAGCAGCATGCGAAGTCTCTCTGTGATGCCGTCTTCTAAATTATAATGGCTGATTTTCTTTTTTTCTTCGTTAGTTGTCAGATTTGTTTTTCTTGTTATCATCATTATTATCATTATCATTATTTGTTACATTACTCTTATTATGGCCTATCTATTGCCATTATTATTTTATTATCATAACCAATATTTGTAATCATTATTATCATTATCATTATTATCGTCATCTTCATGATAATTTTTATCATTATTATTATTATTATTATTATTATTATTATTATTATTATTATTGTCATCATCATTATCATCATCGTCATCTCTATCATCGTCATTATCACAACAACAATTATTCCCACTATTATTTTCATAAACATCATGATCATTAACATAACGTTATTACCACCTTCATTTTTTTACTGCTATGGCCCAAACCACCGTGAGCCTGAATTAAAACCCGGCGGCAGACGTGACATCAACAAAGTTATTCTTCGACACTGACTGATCGTTGACATGACAGGTCACGGCATCAGCGGCCGGCATGAAGTATTGCCTAAACTCCAGAGGTGTTGATCGAAGCCTGTCTTATTTAAATCATTATTTAAACTTACGGGAATTTGTTCGTGTCTCTTTACCTGGGACTGTTATGGCTTTGTGTGTGTACGTGTAGGGGGGGGGGGGGTATGAGAGTGTGTGCGTGTGTGTGTGTGTGTGTGTGTGTGTGTGTGTGTGTGTGTGTGTGTGTGTGTGTGTGTGTGTGTGTGTGTGTGTGTGTGTGTGTGTGTGTGTGTGTGTGTGTGGTAGTGTAAGTGTGAGTGCGTGTATAAGTGTGTATGTTTGTGCGTGCGTGTTCGCCTGAAGCCATACTCACCGGAAATCCAGGTTCCGTTGAAGGAGTTGGCGGAGAAAGTCCCATTGAGCACCTCGATCAGGTCTATGCCTCCGGGAGAGGCCGTGAGCGCCGAGGTGAGGGGGGCGGGGCTGCCGCTTCTGTCGGGAGGCGCGTCCGAGGGTCAGAAACGGGTTAAAGGCATGATATAACATCCCTTACTCTCATTTAAATCATCATGCAATCCCGCGTCACTCTTTTTATCATTGCAACACTCATTAAGATATCCAGAAAAAAATCCTATTTTAAGATTTAAGACTTCTATATCACTCTTATATTTTCCACTCAGCATTTGCACCGAACCCGAAGGCTGTCCTTACCGGCGAGTGGCGATGACGATGCCGATGGCGGCGGCGACGATGAGCATCACGCCCACGGTCCCCAGCAGGAGGTTCCGCCACACCCGGGGCCTCGACAGCCCCACGAGCTCCTGCGGGAGGCAAAGCGCAGGTTAGGTTTACGAAAGAAAATGTCGTTGGAAAAAGTGAATGAGAAAATGAATAACGTGTTACATGCGATGTCTATCTATATCACATGTGTCCGTGCATGAAAAATAATGATAATTTTATATATACATATATATATATATATATATATATATATATATATATATATATATATATATATATATATATATATATATATACAGATAAATATAGAGATATAGACAGACAGATAGCTATTTATATATATATATATATATATATATATATATATATATATATATATATATATATATATATATATATATATATATAAACACACATACATACATACATACATACATACATGCATATATACCTACATATCATATATATATATATATATATATATATATATATATATATATATATATATATATATATATATATATTCACACACACACACACAAAAGCTGACGTGTCATTGTTTTGTTGCAACTCTGCCTAGAGGACATGAAAGGGATAAGTACGCCCATCGTGTCTCCCTGGACGTCACGCCCGCCCGCCCATGCCCCGAGGTCCTGGTGCCCAAAGATGCCGCATCACGGAGGGGGGGGAGGAGGACAGTGCGAAAGGGGGTATTTGCTACTGAAGTATCTTGCTTCAGGATATCAGGAAAATATATGGCCGGTCCCTTATTTCTTCGTTATGCCTAAAAATGACCCTTTTATCATAACGTCTTGACTTATATATGCAGTGATTTCTGATACTAATATGCTAAACACTCATTGATTATTATTTAGAAATCCAAATTCACCTGCGTGTCTGATAAACGTGCTTGGGAGGAATAACATAACCAGACAGCCATAAAGCTTGAAGTTCGTTTCAGAGGCGACGGGCAAAATATCAACAGAAAAAATATATTACGAAGAAAAGACATTACGGTCAAGAGGACAGCATTAAAGCTACGTTTTACAGAGAGGTAAACGCCACGCATGTCTTAGAATTGATTAGAACTGGTTTAAAAAAGATGGCGTTCTGCTCGGCTCTCGGGAATGACTTTCAGCATCACTATGAAGGGAGCGATCACGTGACCAGCGGCGGTCCTCGGGGCTTTTTATGTAATGCTGCAAATTGACACTCATTCACTCACCCACGCAAGTACTTCCATAATCATTCATTTACTCACTTATTCACTAACTCATTTATTAATTCCTTTGCTCATTCGCTCACTCATTCGTTCTTTTATTCATTCATTCATTAACACATGTGTGTGTTTGTCTCTCTGTATATGTGGCTGTCTGTATCTGCCTCTGTCTGCCTGTCTGTGTGTGTGCGCGCGTGCAAGTGTGCGTGTGCGTGTTAATCTGCGTACTCTATCCTCTCTCAAACACACGCCAATAAAAATAACAAATAAAAACCTGCGCATTTTTCTCTTCTTTTTTTTCAAAGGGATTTTCGAGCCCCATTGTTCGCTCCGCCTTTGTCCGCAAGGCCTATAAAGAGAACAGTATGACGTCACAGCCCCCCCCCCCCCATAAATGACAAGCGTGGACGCCGTTGTCCGGCACTTACATATGCCAGAGTTGACACGCACAGAAACGCTCGCACTCCAACTTTCACGCCAAAGCAAGCACGCTCACTCCAGGCAAGGAAGCACGCCAGACCCACTCCGGGCTTAATCGAGCTGCAAGCACACGATTGCATGCTCAGGACGAGAACGTAGACGCTCAGGTGATTAAGTCGTCGCATTTAGCTCTCAGAGGAGCCGACGCCGAGGGCTTATCTGCTTGTCCAAACACGGTGTTTAACAGCGATCATTGAAGTGGAAAGGCTGAGTGACAAGGGAAAGTGATTAATGATGTGTAAATACTACCGGTTGACTAGATTATGTATATATGTGTATATATATATGTATATATATATATATATATATATATATATATATATATATATATATATATATATATATATATATGTATGTATGTATGTATATATATATGTATATGTATATGTATATATATATATATATATATATATATATATATATATATATATATATATATATATATATATAATATGTTATATAAAATATATATATAATATAATATATAATATATAATATATATATATGATATATACAATAAATATATATATATATATATATATATAAATATATATATAATATAATATATAATGTGTGTGTGTGTGTGTGTGTGTGTGTGTGTGTGTGTGTGTGTGTGTGTGTGTGTGTGTGTGTGTGTGTGTGTGTGTGTGTGTGTGTGTGTGTGCGTGTGTGTACATTTATGTGTGCAGACACACACACAAATATATATAATCAGACAACCGCTGTCATGCATTTATCACATTCATATTTCATATAAATCCTTCACGGCTCGGAGTCAGAATCGATTGCAAATTTGCCGTTTCCGAGTCTTCTTCACCATCGCGTGCGTTGCGCCCTTCTGTTTATTGACTTTTTTATGCTCTTATCCTCGCCCGGCCCATCTGGGAATGAAGCCAGGCGTCACGCGTGGGGCCCGGAACGTCGCAGCCTCGACACGAACGCGCGCATAAACAAAATGAATGTTTTGAATCCCGGAATTAAAGCCGAAGTCTGATCTTCTCTCAGCCTTCCGAACGCCTGTAATTTTGACCACGTGTGAGTCATGCGTTCGTTGCCGCTGAAAATGGGGGGGTGGGGTGGGGTGGGGGGAAGGGAGCATGATTAAGGACTACTTTAACACGCACGATAATACATTCTTGGGATTAGTTGGTATCAGGGAGTGAAGAAATTCCTTTTTAAAAAGAATGGGCGAGGATCTTCTGCAACAGACGCCGGTTTGTTTGTTCATGATCAATGCAATTGGAGTGATCAATGTCAGTAGCATTACTGCCACTACTTAGAGAGTGTTAGCAGCAGTAATACCACAACAGCAGTAGCAATAGCAGTAGAAGTAATAGTATTAGAAGTAGAACAGTCATAGCAGTAGCAGCGTCAGAGGTAGTAGTAATAACAGATGGATCATTAACTTAATTACCATCAAATATCCCGGTCGCCATCATAAAGCTCTATCCTCACGATTTCACTCTTTAATGACAACCATTCATTAGTATTATTTATCAGCCGACATGTAAATCTAAATGAAAATATTCAGTAACGTCATTGCTCGAAGATTTAGTTCATCTAAGAAGGTTACGTACAAATAAATGAATAAATAAATAAATAGTTTTCACGCGATTTCTTTTCTTCTTTCTTTTAATGTGGCCAAAAGTTTTCGTTCTGTTTCTAGAAAATTGGCGTGAGTTTGAGGCGTGAGTTTGAGGTATGTGCGGTCACTGAACTAAAACCTCCAAATCGCATATTTTACGCAATTATGAATATCCAAGAGAGAAACTAATGTGGATGTTTGAATAATTATTCATGACCTATTCCATAAAATCGCCACAGACTTTACGATGTGAATTAGCCAGATGGGCGCGCGTCAATTTTAAAATTTTTGTTTTTTTTAGAATTCAACTCGCCGTAAAATCAGCCTAAATGGTCGTAATGTCTCCTGTTTGGCAAATGTATATATGCTGTTTAGATGGCAAGCGAAATAACTAAATTGTTCCTTAATCTGCACAAACAATTCAAGAAAGCATTTTTTTTTCTCTCTGACATTTTTGCCTCATAAAATTCGTCCTAAAAAAAGAAAACGGAGCCATATTTACAGTGATAACAACAGTATAAGTCGACGTTCACAACAATGACGAATAAGATAATACGCATCACAATGAACATAGGCATTAACGAACGCACGGGGGGTTGGGGGGATTTTCCATAATCCCCCTCCCCCCCCCTATAACTACATCATCAGCTTTTCTTCTCTAAATATCAAGACCCATTTGGCAGCCGCCCCTGCATTTACCTTCGACCAGCCACGCACTCTCGGACTCGCTCAAGTTTACCCAAAACAGTGAAAACACCAACACCGATTTTCTCGTCCATGAATGACCATCGTACACCTGTCGTTTACAAGACGGCGGTACCTGTCTATGCGACGTTGCCAAAGCTCCCGTACGCCCGTCGACAGGAAGCAGTGAATTGCACTCGCGTTTGTCGTGATGTGGCACAACCGCGTGGCTCTATGTGTGTCAATATGATCCCGAGTTTTCTCACGGGAAGATAATTGCGGTCGAGGGAGCAAGGTGTTTGTTTAGAGATCTGTTGGGCGTTATTTACTCTTCATAAATTTGGCTTGGAGATAGTAGTGAGAGGGAAAGAGAAAGCGAGAGAGCGAGAGAGCGAGAGAGAGAGAGAGAGAGAGAGAGAGAGAGAGAGAGAGAGAGAGAGAGAGAGAGAGAGAGAGAGAGAGAGAGAGAGACAGAGAGAGAGAGAGATACAGAGACAGACAGACAGAGATAAAGACAGAGGCAGAGACAGAGAGATGTAGAATTCAGAGAAAAACAAAAGATTAAACATGAGATTTCCCAGATAATCAGTTCTCAATACGCAATACGATCGCCTTGATTATGACAACGTATTTTGAGTAAGAAAGCGATATCCTTCACATGACAGAATGACAGATATTTATGTATCACAGCTGAAAATATAAATAAAGATCCTGAGGAGAGAGAGAGAGAGAAATAGGGAGATAGATAGAGTGAGAGAGAGAGAGAGAGAGAGAGAGAGAGAGAGAGAGAGAGAGAGAGAGAGAGAGAGAGAGAGAGAGAGAGAGAGAGAGAGAGAGAGAAAAAAATCAAACAAGCAAAAAAAAACGCGGGAAATGATGTTCACCTCTATCAGATCTCCGCCCCCCCCCCTCCCACCACCTTGCTCCCATTCTCATCGTTCGAGCATCAAGATAAATGACATATCGAGAGAAAGAAAGAGAGAGAAAAGAATTAATCAAGTGACACTTTTCGGACGCGCGACCATCGGCGGCTAATGAATGGGGTGGCCGCACCTGTCGTCGCTGCCGCCAACGCCAACCGACCGCGGGCCGCCTGCTTTCCCTTCGAGAACAGT